TTGTTGTGGTTGTTGTTGTTGGTGTTATTGTTGGTGTTGTTGTTGTGGAAGCACTGTGAAACTAGCCCAGGTTATATCAAGGTAATTCGGTCAATTTGTTCAGTAATTACGTCAGGTGTCAAAAATAAATCCTGGAGCCACTCAAAATAACAACACTAATAACAACTACAACAATAATAATAAAACAAACAATAACAACACTAAATAAAGGTTGTATATAAAGAAAACACAACCCCATTTTATTCTTACCGTATAAATTATATATATATTATTTTACTCATACAATTCTATCAGATAAAATTTCCTGAATATTAAATCTCGTCATTATATCGTGGAAAAAAAAAGTCCCTAATCAGCTGACATTGTTTACCTGGCCGCCATCTTGTCCGATAATTGTCCCCTGAGAAAGTCGAGGCATCCTAGAGCTTTTGTCTCCACGCGCACACACACACACACACACACACACACACACACACACAAGAACGCATACACACACACAGTCACCCATGTACTTAATATTGGAAGAACAAATACTTATAATGTATACAGCCTTAACAACATCAACCTAGAGAAGTCGACTTGTGAAAGAGACCTAGGGGTACTTGTAAGCCCGGACCTACGGCCTAGAAAACAGTGCGTTAATGTTCGAAATAAGGCAAACAGAGTATTGGGTTTTATATCTAGAAGTGTAAGTAACAAGAGTGCAGGAGGTCTTATTGCAACTATATCTTGCGCTAGTCAGGCCACACCTCGAATATGCGGTTCAGTTCTGGTGCCCTATTATAGAATGGATATAAATTCACTAGAGTCGGTGCAGCGAAGAATGACAAAAATGATTCCGGGACTTAGAAACCTTCCATATCAGGATAGGCTAAAGAAACTTAACTTGCATTCCCTAGAAAGACGAAGAGTGCGGGGAGATATGATAGAAGTACTTAAGTGGGTGAAAGGAATCAATAAAGGGGATATAGATAAAATTCTTATAATATCCGAGCAGGATAGGACTCGGAGCAACGGATTCAAGTTGGATAAGTTTAGGTTTAGGAGGGAGATAGGAAGAAACTGGTTCACAAATAGGGTGGTGGACGAGAGGAACAAGCTTAGCAACTTTGTAGGAAGTGCGGGAACTCTGGAAAGTTTCAAAAGGAGGCTAGATAGATTCATGGATGATAGAGAGTGGTAGTAACTCTCGACAGGAGCTGCCATGCACAGGCCAACCGGCCTATTGCAGACTCCTTATTTTCTTATGTTCTTATGTTCATGTGCACCAAAGGCATGACGAGGCCGCAACCTTCATGCTGCTGGGTGTAAAGTAACAATAATGACAATAACAATAATAACAATAATAATAAAAACAGCAACGACCAGTTTGAGTGGTTACTGATTCTGTGCAACTCTACCAGCCTTGCCCCCTGCTTCTCTTGTACACAGATAGATAGATAGATATATAGATAGATAGATCGATAGATACATACACAAACTGGCAGACAAATAAACAGATATTAAACAGACAGACTGACAGAAAGAGGGATATAGAGAGACTGACAGACAGGCAGACAGATATTCATTCAATAACAATATATAGTTTCTGGGTTTGTATTTCCACCACCACCACCACCACCACTACTACCACCATCACTACTACCACCACCACCACCACTACTACCACCATCACTTCCACTTAAGAACATAAGAACATAAGAATGGAGGAAACTGCAGCGGGCCTATTGACCCATACTGGGCAGTTCCGTTTACACCCAACCCCTATTGCTCATATAAGCATCCAACCTATGTTTGAAGCAATTCAGCGTATTCAAGTTAATGATGATATTTGGTAACTTGTTCCATTCATCCACTACTCTGTTTCCAAACCAGTGTTTACCTATTTCACGCCTAAATCTAAATTTGTCTAATTTAAAACCATTGTTACGAGTTAGCTCCTGGTTGGATAGTTTGAGTACCTTTGTAATGTCCCCTTTGTTTAGCCCTGCCTTCCACTTATACACCTCTATCAGGTCGCCCCTCGCTCTACGTCTCGAGGGAGTGCAAATTAAGATGCTTTAACCTGTCTCTATACTCAAGGTTCCTAATGCCCGATTAGTCTTGTCATTCTCCTCTGAATTCTTTCCAAGGATTCTATATCCATTCTGTAATACGGTGACCAGAACTGAACTGCGTAATCCAGGTGTGGTCTCACAAGAGCAAGATACAGTTTTAGGATGACCTCGCTAGTCTTGTAACTAACACTCCTTTGTATGAACCCAAGTACTTTATTAGCCTTGTTACGAGCAAAACACATTGTTTACTTGGCTTAAGGTTCCTACTTATCATTACTCCTAAATCTCTCTCGCAGTCGGATTTCTCTATGGCATCGTTGTTCATCTGGTATCTGGTTTCCCTGTTTACATCTCCTATACTGAGTACTTTACATTTGTCCACGTTGAATTTCATCTGCCATTTTTCAGACCATTCGAAAATTTTTTTTAGATCTTCCTGTAGTTTTGCCGAGTCCTCGTCAGATTTAATAACACGTCCTATTTTAGTGTCATCAGCAAATTTACTTATGTTGCTGTCTATGCCGATATCTATGTCGTTTATGTATATAATAAATAATAATGGTCCAAGTACTGAGCCTTGGGGAACTCCACTTGTGACGTTGCTCCAATGGGACTTAGTGCCGTTAATGCTCACTCGCTGTTTCCTGTCCTGTAACCACGCCCTAATCCATTTAAGGATGTCACCTTTGATGCCATGAGCTTCTACCTTTCTAATTAGTCTTTTCGTGGGGACTCTGTCGAAGGCTTTGCTAAAGTCGAGATACCATCATAATTGTGCCCCTCGTCCACCGATTCGAAAACTGATGAAAAGAATGTTAATAGATTAGTTAGGCAAGAACGTCCGCTTGTGAAGCCATGCTGGGAATCATTGATCAATCGGTGCTTCTCCAGGTGATTTCGAATAGAGTTTGAAATGATTGCTTCCAGTAATTTGCCTACTATTGATGTTAGACTGATTGGGCCACCACCACCAGGCTGTGTCCAATAAGCTCGGTATGTGACAGGAATAAACGTATGTTCTAAGCTGTATATATCTTGAATAAGCTGAGAATGTGACAGGAATACAATTACTGCATAATCTAAGCTGTGTATGAGACAGGGAGTATATTCTAAGCACTAAGCTGTATATATAAGCTGAGTGGTGATAGGAAGTATATTCTGAGCTGTGTATAACCTCAATAAGCTTAGTATATGACAAGGAGTATATTTTAAGCTGAGTAGAGATAGGAAGTATATTCTAAGCTGTGTATAACTTCATTAAGCTGTGTATAACTTAATTAAGCTGCGTATATCTTAAGTGGATAGGGAGGAATTATCTACCTTAACCTTTATAAGAATTGTATTAATAACCCCTTGAGTACAATGACTTAACACCCTGAGTACAATATCGTCTTACTCGTGGGTATAAGTTATCGTACTCAAGGGGTTAAATCATTGTACTCAAAGGTATTCAATCATTTACAAAAGGGGTTCAATCACTGTACTCAAAGGATCCACTCATTGTACTCAAGAGATTCAGTTAATGTACTCAAGGGATCCAGTCATTATACTCAAAGGGTTAATTCATCGTACTCAAAGGGTCAAAATATCTTACTCATTGGATTAATTCATTATACTCAGCTGTTTGACATAATCGTACTCAGGAGTTTAAAGACCTTATCACTGGTGTTAATTCATTGTACTCAGCGGGTTGGCATCATTGTACTCAAGGGTTTAAATTGTTGAAGCAGAGGAAAACACAAAAGAAACACGTAATTTGTCTCTGCAAGTTCCCCAAAGATTGACGTAATTGGAGAAAAGTTTAAATGAGGAGGAGGAAGAAGAAGAGGAAGAGGAGGAAGAAGAAGAAGAAGAAGGGAATTACGAAGAGGAAGAAGAAGAAGGGAATTACGAAGAAGAAGAAGATCAAGAAGAGGAGGAAGATTAATAAGAGGATTACAGAGAGGAGGAAGGAGATTAAAAAGATTACGAAGAAGAGGAGGAAGAATTAGAAGACGATTACAAAGAGAAGGAAGAACTAGACAAACTGAAATAGTATCCCAGTAATCCGCTTCATCAAGACAGAGGGTCGTTGTTATGAGCGGCAGGACCAAGTGGATCATCATACATGGTGTACGAAGCTTCGAATCCTTTACGAGGCTTCGAACACTTTACGAGGCCATGAATCCTTTACGAGGCCATGAATCCTTTACGAGGCCATGAATCCTTTACGAGGCCACAAACCCTTTACGAGGCCACGAATCCTTTACGAGGCCATGAAACCTTTACGAGGCCACGAATCCTTTACGAGGCCACGAACCCTTTACGAGGCCACGAACCTTTTACGAGGCCACGAACCCTTTACGAGGCCACGAACTCTTTATGCGGCCTCGAACCTTTACGAGGCCACGAACCCTTTACGAGGTCATGGACCCGCCCTAAGCTCTCTCCCGATCGACCGTCAACAATTTTTATTACAGTTAATACTAAGTTACTAACGAATGGTAACCTGACAAGATAATTTGTAGTATATGTTTGTTGCTGTGTGTGTGTGTGCGTGTGTGTGTGTGTGTGTGTGTGTGTGTGTGTGTGTGTGTGTGTGTGTGTGTGTGTGTGTGTTTTTGTTTCATTCACCTAACCTGCTCTCTGTGTGAAAAATAAAAAGTAAAAAAATTATACATTTGAGTTTCAATTTACGTATCACACACCCAAAACAATTAATAACAATAATAATAATAATTAATAACAATACCACCACAAAGACAACACAACAACACTACTACTACTACTAATAATAATAACAACAATAAGAGGTGTTATTTCTCAGCTACACAACACCATAACACTTCATACAAACTCAAGAAGAGAAGAGAAGAGAAGAGAAGAGAAGAGAAGAGAAGAGAAGGGAAGAGAAGAGAAGAGAAGGGAAGAGAAGGGAAGAAAACAACCTTCACCCAAACATACCCGTTGTTCTTTGAGAGGACGGACCGGCGGCCAGCTGTGGAATAACACCTGAGTTTAAAGTTGAGGTGATCTGCCGAAGGTGGGTGTTGGCTCAGGGCGTCCACGTCTGTTGCCTCGCGTTACCTCCCCTCCATCTGCCTGGGGGAGGGGGTAAGGGAGGGGGGAGGGGGTAAGGGTGGGTGGGGTGGCTCTTCCTGCCTTTAAACTTCCCCCGGATGGCAACCTGACCAACCACCCAGGCTGTGTGTTGCTGCTCCCTTACAACCTGTGTGTGACAATAGAACCGGATTGATTTGGATCCTTATAAGGGAATTTGTTGGGATCATTCATCGTTACCCTAAATCTAACCTAACCTAACCTAACCTAACCTAATCTGACCTAACCTAAACCACCACCTCCACCTCCTTCCCATCACTAATTCTCCATCACCCTATTTCGTCACTCTCTCTCCCTTCCTTCTTTTTTTCATTCATTTGGTAATTCATTTTCAGGGTGGTGACCTCAAACAGCTGGTCCGTCGCCCCTTGTAACTCTTCTTTCCTGTCATGTATGTTACAAGAGGATGGCTCAACACCTTTGTGACCATGACTCTCAGCATATGTAAAAATCCATATTCTGTTATTATTTGATATTCATTGAAAGGTAAATTATTATTCAAATTAGGTTTACACGACAGAGACCCCAGTTTCCTTCCTAAGCATGGTAGTAAACAGTATTCCTTCACTATATACATATTCATACAGGAAGTTACATGAGGGTAAATTATGTATTCTGGTGTATGTTACGTATACGATAAGTTATCAAATAAAAGACAAACACACACACACACACACACACATACACACACACACACATCCTTGACCACCGAAGGGTCAAGACGTACCTGGCGCTCCTCTCGGAGCAGCCAGGTCAACTGTTAAGTTGGCCCATACCAACCCCCTCCCTTGAACCCCCCTCCCCACAGGAATATCAACAAGTTCTCGCCAGAAGTTACAATTTCATTTAGGAAAGGAACGGAACCAGTGTTAAACAAAGGTGAACAGTGCTTAAGTCAGTGAGAACAACTCAACAGTAACAGTCGTACCCAAGTTAACCTTCACACAGTGAGGTCCCAGGTAATCAGTGATAACGGCCCTCGCGAGACCCAACAACAACCACCGATGTGTTAATCCGTCTACGATAGGAAGGCCTGGGACCAAACCTCGCTCATATAACACCATCTGTGAGGGGATTACTACACCACATGTCCCTCATAACACCATATGTGAGGGAATTACTACACCACGTCAAGTCCCTCATCACGCCATCTGTGAGAGAATTACTACACCACGTGGGGTCCCTCATAACACCATCTGTGAGGGAATTACTACACCACGTCAGGCCCCTCATAACACCATCTGTGAGGGAATTACTACACCACGCCAGGCCCCTCATAACACCATCTGTGAGGGAATTACTACACCACGTGATGCCCCTCATAACACCATCTGTGAGGGAGTTACTACACCACGTGAGGTCCCTCATAACACCATCTGTGAAGGAACTACTACACCACGTGAGGCCCCCTCATAACACCATCTGTGAGGGAATTACTGCACCACATCAGGTCCCTCATAACACCATCTGTGAGGGAATTACCACACCACGTCAGGTCCCTAATAACACCATCTGTGAGGGAATTACTACACCACGTGAGGACCATCATAACACCATCTGTGAGGTAATTACACCACGTGAGGTCCCCTATAACACCATCTGTGAGGGAATTACTACACCACGTGGTCCCTCATAACACCATCTGCGAGGGAATTACTACACCGCGTCAGGTCCCTCATAACACCATCTGAGGGAACCACTACATCACGTGAGGTCCTCATAACACCATCTGTGAGGGAATTATTACACCACGTGAGGCCCCTCATAACACCATCTGTGAGGGAATATTACACCACGTGAGGTCCTCATAACACCATCTGTGAGGAATTACTACACCACGTGCTTGCAGCAACACCTACATTAATCTGTATGTTCACTGAATGTTCCTTTACCTTTCTCTAATGAAGGCTTTTGTTAAACCACCAATGTATGTAATAAGTCATTTATGTCCAATGTATATTTTCAGCCTTCGGGCTGCAGAACTTTTTCAATAAACCGTTAATTATTATTATTATTATTATTATTACATATTTCCTCGCTTTTAATTCCACCTCCCTACCACCTACCAGGCCCCTACCAGACTAAAGACAAGAAATACAAACATAGTGAATAATTTATATAGACACAAAACTAGGGAGGGAAGGAAGGAAGGAGGGAGGAGGAAGGAAGGAAGGAAGGAGGAAGGAAGGAAGGAGGAAGGGGAGGGAGGAGGGAGGAGGGAGGGGTGAGATAGGAGGATGAAGGTGGAGAGAGAGAGAGAGAGAGAGAGAGTGAGAGAGAGAGAGAGAGTTAAATGACCTTCCTTTTTAGCCTTGACGAGTCCTGTCCACAACCTTATTGTTTTGGGGACACAACAACCATATGGGGAGGAGTTGGGGAGAAGGGTTGTTGGGGAGGAGTTGTTGGGGAGAAGGGTTGTTGGGGAGGAGTTGTTGGGGAGGGGTTATAGGGAGGGGTATGGGGAAAGGGTTGTTGGGGAGGAGTTGTTGGGGAAAAGGGTTGTTGGGGAGGAGTTGTTGGGGAGGAGTTGGGGAGAAGGGTTGTTGGGGAGGAGTTGTTGGGGAGAAGGGTTGTTGGGGAGGAGTTGGGGAGAAGGGTTGTTGGGGAGGGGTTGTTGGGGAGGAGTTGTTGGGGAGAAGGGTTGTTGGGGAGGAGTTGTTGGGAGAAGGTTTGTTGGGGAGGAGTTGGGGAGGGGTTATTGGGGAGGAGTTATTGGGGAAGGTTGTTGGGGAATTAATTATTAAGAAGAAAAAAGGTAACGATAGGATTAAGTAGTTAAAGGTAAGTAATAGATGAGGGGAGGGGTGTGGGTAGTGGTGTTGGCAGACGTTGGAAGGCTGTAGGAAGGAAGAGAGGTGTGTGGGTAGTGGTGTTGGCAGACGTTGGAAGGCTGTGTAGGAAGGAAGAGAGGTGGGTAGTGGTGTTGGCAGACGTTGAAGGCTGTAGGAAGGAAGAGAGGTGGGTAGTGGTGTTGGCAGACGTTGGAAGGCTGTTGGAAGGAAGAGAGGTGGGTAGTGGTGTTGGCAGACGTTGGAAGACTGTAGGAAGGAAGAGAGGTGTGGGTAGTGGTGTTGGCAGACGTTGGAAGGCTGTAGGAAGGAAGAGAGGTGTGGTAGTGGTGTTGGCAGACGTTGGAAGGCTGTTGGAAGGAAGAGAGGGTAGTGGTGTTGGCAGACGTTGGAAGGCTGTAGGAAGGAAGAGAGGTGTGGGTAGTGGTGTTGGCAGACGTTGGAAGGCTGTTGGAAGGAAGAGAGGTGTGGGTAGTGGTGTTGGCAGACGTTGGAAGGCTGTTGGAAGGAAGAGAGGTGTGGGTAGTGGTGTTGGCAGACGTTGGAAGGCTGTTGGAAGGAAGAGAGGTGTGGGTAGTGGTGTTGGCAGACGTTGAAGGCTGTAGGAAAAAAAAGAGGGGTGTGGGTAGTAGTGTTGGCAGACGTTGGAAGGCAGTTGGAAGGAAGATGTGGGTAGTGGTGTTGGCAGACGTTGGAAGGCTGTAGGAAGGAAGAGAGGTGTGGGTAGTGGTGTTGGCAGACGTTGGAAGGCTGTTGAAGGAAGAGAGGGTAGTGGTGTTGGCAGACGTTGAAGGCTGTTGGAAGGAAGAGAGGTGGGTAGTGGTGTTGGCAGACGTTGGAAGGCTGTTGGAAGGAAGAGGTGTGGTAGTGGGGCAGACGTTGAAGGCTGTAGGAAGGAAGAGAGGTGTGGGTAGTGGTGTTGGCAGACGTTGGAAGGCTGTAGGAAGGAAGAAGAGGTGTGGGTGGTAGTGTTGGCAGACGTTGGAAGGCTGTAGGAAGGAAGAGGTGTGGGTAGTGGTGTTGGCAGACGCTGGAAGGCTGGTGGAAGAAAGAGGGTGTGGTAGTGGTGTTGGCAGACGTTGGAAGGAAGAAAAAAGGTGGAAGGAGGATTATCTCTACCACCAGGTGTCTCAAGGTGATAATAAAGGAGAAATAATCACACTTAATGTTGTCGTATTATTTTAAAACATGTTGGTGAAGGCGAGGAGACGGACCCATTTATTCTTTACTAAAAAAAATAATATCAATAACTTAATGGTCACACTCTCATGGTTTTAAGGAGTTTGTGTATGGTCAGTGTATGGTCAGGGGGTATGGTCAAGGGTGTATGGTCAGGGGTATGGTCAGGGTGTATGGTCAGGGGTGTATGGTCAGGGTGGTGGTCGGGGGTGTATGGTCAGGGGTGTATGGTCGGGGGTGTATGGTCAGGTATGGTCAGGGGGTGTATGGTCAAGGGGTGTATGGTCAGGGGTAGGTGTATGGTCAGGGGGTGTATGGTCAGGGGGTAATGGTCAGGGTATGGTCAGGGGTGTATGGTCAGTGTATGGTCAGGGGTGATGGTCAGGGGTGGCGGTCAGGGTGTATAATTGCATGCGTCAGTGATATTATGTTACGTAGGTATTTCTCTAAAACCCTCCACTACCTCCACTCACCTCCACCTCACCCCACCTCACTCCACCTCCACCCTCACCCCCCACCTCACCCGCCCACGTGCCCCTCGAACTCATAAGTGTGTCCGTTTGGTACTTTGTCCGGCCAATATCTCAGGCAGTGTTTGAGGTATGTGGCTGGACTTTGGACTCAATGGTAGCCAAGTGTTAAGGCTCTCTCTCATTTTGGTTATGGCATGACGTAGGAATGCACAATGAACCTATTTACTATTTCAATAACAATTTGTACCGCTCGTTTTGTATATCATCAACAACAATAACAGCAGTAATAATAATAATAATAAACTTCAGATTTCGTGTATTTTCTTTATGCCTTCCCCACTTAAATGTTGCAAGACAAGTTTAGAAAGTTCCAAGTGACGTAACAAGTATACCCCCCCCCCAATATCATCATCTTCAACACACACAGTGAATTAGTTCCTAAGTCATTACTCCACAACTCCTCATATTCACTGACTTATCGACAAAGCTATACGCCGTTTTGACTTCCTTGGCAACCGTTAAAATTAGCTGAAGTTGATTGGTTGCTATGTGAGCCGAGTTGCCGCTTGTGCAAATTTTCGATAATTATATTCCTTTCACAATATAAAATAAAGAATATATCTCCAGTTATTTTTTATGTTTAAAATAATATTAAATTTTTTAGTGAT